GGAGTCTGAGGGTTGTGGGGGGGGCTGGCAGAGGGGGGACCAGGGCAGCAGAGAGGCTGGCATCCTTCTGCAGAAGAGGAACCTGGGCTTCCTCTCCTAGGTGTCCCAGCTCTCCGAGAACGATGTCTATTATGCCAACCTGACCCTGCAGAAGACTGGAGCCTCCTCTGGCTCCTCCAGGGAGAAGCCCCCCTCAAAGTTTCCCTCCTCTGCCCAGGAAGATCAGGTAGAAGTGGAATACATCACCATGGCGTGTACTTGGTGGGGCTACTGTGGGCTTCAGAGACATTGTCCCCTCTTTGAGGATGGGCTTTCTCCTCCCCGCATGAGCACAGAGGAGGGTGGGCACCCGGCAAAATTGCAGCCATTGAAAGACTTGCCCACTGACCTCCCCCCCCACCCCATCCCAGGCTCTTAGCCTTTGGAATTGTCTCCGTATCAGGTCTCAACAATGGGGACCCAGAGCCTGGTCAACCTTGTGTTGGCATCTGGTCTGGTATCTCTAGTCTGCAGAGAGTGCTGGCCTGGCATGGAGTTGAGGGACAGTGTCTTCAGCTGCGGCTGCAGCTAAGGGTGGCTGGCAGGGTGGGGGAAGGCAGAGCTGGAGGGCCTGGGAGTAGACTTCAGAGTCCCTGGGGGGCATGTCCCCCAGCCTCAGGGAGGCCTCCTCCCCTTCCCCCAACCAGCCTCCCTGACCCGTGTGCATCTTTGTTACAGGATCCCTTTCCAAAGGAGGACATTTCCTATGCAGCCCTGACTTTGGACACCTTGGGTCAGGACTCAGTCTACATGAACACGGGCGACCTCGTCACCAACCTTCCCAGCAGGAGCCAAGAGGAGCTCACGCAATACAGCACCATCAGGAAGCCTTAGCCTGCGCTAAGGACCCCTGTCTGACCCCACCCGAGGCCTATCACCTCGTTCCTGCCTCCCAGTCCTCTCGGCACCCCCAGCTCTGAACTGGGCTCCAAGCCTGGTCTCAGGGGGCTTCAGGGAGACAGAAAGGGGTCCCTTCACATCCCTTCCTCTCCCACACAGCTCAGGAAGAGGCTGGGGATATGCTCTGCGGCGGCCCAGGGAGGGATAAGTACGACCATGACAATAATAGTCATGAACCTCTATTTACTGCCACCGCACGTGGTGGGCTGAGTAGCGGCCCCGGTGCTGTGGGCTCATCTCCAGGGCCCCCGAGCGTTAGCTTACATGGCAGAAGGGGCTGCGCAGGTGTAATTAAATTAAGGATTTTGAGACTGAGATTATTGTAGATTATCCTGGCAGGCCCTAAATATAATCACAAGGATCCTTATAATAGGGAGGCAAGAAGGTCACAAGAGAAAGCACTGTGACGGCGAATACGGAGGTCAGAGTGACGAGACCAGGAGCCAAGGGATGCCGCAGCCTCGAGAAGCTGGAAACGTCAAGGAAAGGATCCGTCCAGGGAACCAGCCTCACAGATACCTTGACTTCAGCCCAGTGAAATGGATTTTCAATTCTGGCCTCCAGAATTGTAGGAGAATAAATTTACATTGTTTTCCTGAAGCCACTAAATTTGTGGTAATTGACACAGCAGCAACAGGAAACGAATACCCTCTTGTGGCAGGTGCTCGTCTCTAAAGGCTCTGCCCCCAATAGCTAATTCCATCCGCACGACAGCCCTACCAGGCACCCTCATCACTGCCCCACTTTGCAGACGAGGGGTTGAGGTCCAGAGAGGTTCAGGGACTTACCGGGGTTTTTTGCTAGCAAGTGGGTGAGTTGGAATTTGAACTCGGGCATTTTGCCTCTGGAGTCTGGAGTCTGGGCCACCCCCCTGCACCGTGGGTCTAAGGAGGATTATGTGTGTGTGCGTGCGTGTGTGCACACCCACTCACACAGCCGTTCACACAGGGATAGTTAGTGAATATTTTACAAACTCCACTCTCGCCACCCTTCTCCTAGAGTCCTGGCAGCCCTCCCTCCAGAAACGTCCTGAATCCTGGCCAGGCCCGCTGTCTCCATGGTTACCAGCCTCATCCAGTCCCCTGCCTGGAGCAACTCTTTCCTTCTGTGTCCCTGAGTCCATTCTCCTCCCAACAGCCAGAGTGACCTTTTAAAAGCACAAACCTGCTCACACCCTGCTTCTCACTTCTGGATAGTGGATATGGGCTGGAAATGGAAGTTTCTGGCTGCCTGGCTGAGCTGAGGAAAAGTAAACCAGCTCAGAAAGACAGATCCACTCTGGTCGCTTTTAGTCATTTCATTCAAGCTTTAAACAGGTGTCTACCAGATATATCGCTGGATACACTGTTTTTATGCAGAAGTTCAGCCATCTGGATTGGTGGCTGTCTCTTCGTGCCCTCAGAGACCAGCCCCTGGCGTTTGTGAAAGCTGCCCAATCCAGTCTGCAGCCGGACAGAGCAGACGGCTGGCCTGCGGCCCTCCTGGGGGCCTCGCGGTTCTCTAGGTGGGTCTGATTGCAGGGACCTACCACGAAGCCAGCAGTTCCAGTCTGTTGAAGCCTGAGCTAGAGTTTAGAGTGTGGTAGGGGAAGTGGTCAGGGCCAGGGGAAGGAAAACAAACATATGCAAGAGGTTTGAAAGGAAATTGTTTCATAAGGTTTATAAGTTGGTATCTCGGTGTTGTCTCAGCCATATCCTGCTGGCCCATAAATACTTTGCTAAGGTGCTGGGCTAGCACCTTTAGTGCGAGGGAGAGAGCGAGCTCAGGCGTGGTGCTTCTGGCCTGAGTGACGGTGGCACTCACAATTTTGCTGTATGGTTTCTAGGAAAGCACATTTCTGGTAAGGCAAACTCCAGGCTGTTCAACCACGCGGCTCTGGTAGAGTGTCTCATTCCTTACAGCCTGTCTGAAGTTGCTTGGGTTTCCCTCCTCTGGCTTTTGAATGATTAATATTTAAAGATTCTACTTTATCAAAGTTGTAGGGTTCAGACAGTCCTCTTTTGAGAATTATGTGCATATTGCTGGCTTTCAGAAGACAGCCTTTCCGAGAGTCGGTTGACGGAGATGGATATACTGGGCTGGGAGCCTTCAGAATACATGATTAAGGTAAATGTTGGATTGAAGGGAGCCTAAAGACTACCTTTGCTTGACACTTTGAAACCAGCAGCCGCTTAGCTTTGGAAGGGCCAGGCCTCTGGACTCAGTTGATTTCACGTATCAATACTTTACGTCGGGAGGGACTGATACAGTGGTCAGCCTTTTATTTTACCCAGTAGGTGCAGCCTTAGCCAATGTGATTGGAACTGATCGTTGGTCAGTTCATTGAGAGAGAGGGTTAAATCAGAAAGTCATAGAAGAGATATTCTTTCTCTAAATGCTTTCGCTTGACTCAAAATATCTAACTGTGCAGCAGTTTGCTAGTATTTTGATGCAGACTTGTCATTTCTTTGCCCGAGGGCCTGTGGACAGAAGGGGCCAGTGCCTGTTCTGCACAAACAGCACACATGCCATGAGGGGCTGGAGCCCCGTTGCAGTTTCTCTAACATGGAGCAAGACGCTCCAGACCCCTGTGAAGCAATCTGATTGCAAAACCCTTCTTTAGTCTTACGTTTTCTACTCAGATTATTTCACAGTTCTCTCTCTCATTCCTAATTTGACAGCATTTTAAAAAAATGACGTGATTTATCGAGTCTTTCCCAAGTATTTGATTTAGTTTTTATAAAAATAACAGTTCCCGTTTTGTTTACAGTCTCTTTCATTGGTTAGCATCCTTTCTGTTTATATTCTTCATTGATTGGTTTATGGAGGCGTGAATCAAATCACGCAGCTATAATTAATGTGTATGACAGGCCTGGGCAAGTTTAGACCCAAACACAGTTGGCTCTTGTTAAACGTGCACCTCCACGGGCGAGAACAGAAGAACCTACCCGTTGGCCACAGGGATAAAGTCAGTATGTTTCACCAAGAGACTAAAGGGTGTTGGTTGATCTAGTAATTTGGTTAAGGGAGGGATTGGTTAAGAAAGTTTCTCCTAAACCATCTGTTATGACCATAATTTCATAAAAGAAAGGACATTTGAAGACCTCAAGTCAGAACAATAGTGTGTTTCCCAAGAAGAGAGAGTTGGTATCTTTATGCCAATGTGGGTTTATGTGGTCTGTACATAATCTTCTACCAGTGGATAGATACTTTGTCCAGGGCTGGCACTCACATATGGACTGAGGGTTGGTAGCCATTGGTCTTGTTTACACTGTTCTCTGGACATAGATTCCCTCTACTACCTCAGCTGTTGTAGTCTAACATCCCCTTAATGGCCTCTAGTGATCGCACGTGTCTGGACACTGACTTAGGTTGTCAGTCACGAGGGCCCGGTGCCCCAACACAAGCTGAGCAAAGGGCCCTTTCAGTTCCTCAGATTCCCCCGCCCAGCCCAAGCCCTTCCCCAAAGTGATCTCAGACTCACAAGTGCCTGTCTGCAGGGGGTGGGGTTCTTGCATCAAGGAACGGTGACTGACCCATTGGTTTTGCTGAAGGAAACTCTGAGGATGGGTTCAGAATTAAGGAATGGGTAAGACTCTGTTCCTAAGGGTCAGAAATAGAGAAGAGACCTTCTGAAGCCTCGTGCGGTAGGCAATCTACTATTATCAGAGGGGAGTCTCCTCTTGTGTTCACTACAGGTCCCAGAGTGAAAGTTCCATGCCGGGGAGTTTCTGAAGCCTCCCACATCCCCCGTGTCACTTTCCTACCTTCTGTGCCACCAATCTAGATGGCCCCAATCCTATCATTTATTAGCTTATTCATTTTTCATTATAAGTTATAAAATATTTGATGCATACTACATGTTTATATAATGTATACATACATTATAAAGGGTAGTGGAACAAACACACCCAAGTACAGGCCACCCTGCTGAAGAAATGAAACATTACCAACACCACTGAAGCCACACAGCTCCCTATTTGCCTTTTTTTTTTCCTAAGGAGGAACATGCCTGCATAGGGTAGCTCTAACCGTCCATTGCAGCCCTTGTCACCTTCATGTTAATCAGTAAAGACATTGGATGAGCTGGTCTGCATTCTGTGGCATCTGTACTAAATTGGCAAGTCTATGCCGCTCTTCTTAATTTAATATTTTTCTCCCCCCCCCCCAAGTCCCCCAACGCCCAATTGTGCCTTTGTGCTATTTAAGGATCCAGTGATTGGTTTGTCACTTGAAAGCACTGGCGGGAGTTGCAAAGCTCAGATGATGTGCTTATTTCAAAGTTCACACCGCCTTTGCAAGATTAATAATAAGCCACAAAAGCAGAAGGACTAAAACCCGAGACCCCGTGACCTCCCGTGGAAACCTTTCCACCAGCACATGACAAGTGAAAGCAGAACTGAGAGAGAAAATATTTCATCTTAAAATACAATGAGACAGGAGAACAGATGTGCGAGCAGGTGAAGGTAACGTGAAGGAGGCTCGGCCCCGAGGCAGCTCCTGACGGTGGTAAATCTGGGCGTGCTTCCCTGGGGCTGGGATCCTGCAGTTGGGTTCTGATGGAGGCAAATCCCCAGGGGATGATGTTGCTCAGCTCCCCTGCTCCTAAGACCCAATTAGCAGTGATTCATTGCATCAGCCTCCATTCCAGGGGCATCCGAGCAGCGCTGGAGGCAGAGTCTTGCATCTGTATGGGGAATGAGTGTCTCCCACTGGCATTGACTCTGGTGTTTGTCCTGGGCCAGGCTGAGATTGTCGCCGGGCTGTGCTAGAATTCCGTGACGTCTTTGTACAAAAATTATTAAGACTCTCAAAATGGTGACATCAGAGTATTAAACCAATCACGGGCCCTTCTAGATGTGGGGCCCTGTGTGACTGCCAGGTCCCACACCCAGGAGCCAGCCTTGTTGGGCAGGCACCCCCCTCACTCCTCTCTGCCTTCCTGTGGCCATGGT